TCTTAATAAATATTAACAGTATATTGAAAGTAATACTGAACAATTATAATTTATAATTAAACTAAAGTTCATTTTACAGTATATTGACCCATATGTTTTTATAAATAATCTATCTAACCATAGGTATAACAGATATAAATAAAAATTACTTCTAGGATTTTCATCCATTCGTTGATGAATGACTTCTGCCATACGAGATATTAAAGTGTTGTACAAAGTTGAGTTAACACTCATATTTGTATGTCCATAGTGATAGACTAGTGGAGCTGCTTGGGAAAAACTTTCTTCTACTTCAGCTGGCCTTTCTACCATGACTGCTCCTGCAAATTATTTTTCTCAGTAGGACTATTGTCGAATGTGATGAATTTTATATCTATACTAACCAATGGTTCCTGGAACTGATATCTGTCCCTGACCCGGGTCCAAATCAACATATATGGGTCTACGTCCAAGAGAATTCATTCGTGCACTATAGTTCAGTAGTATTCTACAAAGAGTAGATTTACCCACATCAGTCGGACCAACCACCATTGTAACAGGACCTCTTGTCTTTTCAATATCTGATTTTACTCGTAGTTGTTCTAATGATGCATGRCAATTTAAATAAAACATCTAAAATATTAAATAAAGTTAAAATATGTACACGGTTTGTTTTCCAACTAATAAGTATTAAAATATATTAGCTTTTTTTACTGTTATTTAATGGTTTAAATGACACTAAAAATAAATTGATTTACTAGGCRTTACATTACAGCCTGCTGTTTATAAACATTTTAGATACTCAGATGTCTAAAATAATATATTAAAATAAAAGAATTATTCAAAAATTATATTTATTTCATTTTACAATGATGTATTTATATTATATCTTGAGATCAAATAATTTAAAATTAAAAAGGTATATTTAAAAAAATAAATATTATCTTTGTTTACTCTGTTTAATCTAGGTGCAATATAGAAAAGTTCCATACAGTATAACCAACCTTGCATTGTTAGCTTAAACATAAGACTTTATTTAAKTTTAAAAAAATTAATTCTGTAGGTTATTGACTTATTTTAATATTTTAATTCTCATATTTTTTTTTTTTCGTATGGCGCTATGTCAGGGAGTAGGCCCGAAGGCCTAGTCCGGACGCCTGTTTGGCAGAATTTCTATTGGGGCACCCGTAGGTTTCTGCCATGCCCCGGAGTGGGGGATGGCGGCACTTGTTCTCCATACACCATGACTTGCCCGGAGAAAATAAATTTCTCATGTAATATACACATATTAAGTATTTTATGTGTAATATTTAACAAACTTATAATTCATAAAATGCATCAAAATTTAAATATCTTAAAAACATAAAACAAACAAACGCGGATAATGTTCTARACTTCAAGTTTGAAAATAGTGTTAATTTCCTTTATAAAAGCTTATTTCACAAAATAAGCTCTGCTGAATTTAAATTTTGTATGTTTATATAGTACATAATATATCAGATAGAAAACAAATAATCATATTAAATCGGCACACATTTTATTTAAATTTAAGATTAAACAGAAATAATATATCTATTATGGTAAAAAGATTTACCAATAGATAAATTAAATTAATTGTACATTTACTATGGAYCAAAATCGCATTGAAATTATTAAGTAAATTTAAATAAAAATGTACAGTAATAGTTTTATTATTTTTATTTTATTTTATTTTAATATTTTAAAAACAATTAACACATTATCATGCGTAAACATAATAATAATATAATATAGTAAAAACTAAAAATTAATATAAGTTATATGAGTAATTTCTATMAAATATGTTTATTAAAAAATATCATAATTCTTACCATTGGTGTCTCTTTGGATATATAACTAATTCCTTTTTTTCCTCGTAATTTTAATGAACATCCTTGCCACGTAAACACCGCAATTTTTGCTCCAAAATAAAATGTATAAGATTTGCCTTTCACTAATTCTGTTCCAAAAATTTCTGCTAGCCCAGTTTTCAACTAAAAAAATAAATTAAACAATAAAAATATATTATGTACCTAATCTATAAAAGAATATTTTTTATACTTTTGTTAAAGCTAATAACCTATGTAGTTGATGCTTAATCAATATAAAAAAAAATTAAATATTTTTTATTCTATGATTTAAGTGTTTTTAATTTTCTAATTA